AATATTATATACATATATATATATATATATATATATTATTAATAAATATTTTATATCATATTGAATAATATTTTATTTTTAATTATAAGATTAAAACCGCGCGCGCGTTGTATGTGATACACCATGCAACACTGGTCTGCTGGTTAGATATAGATAGATAGAGTGAGATGATAGATAGAGTAAGATAACACATAAAGTCAAAGGCCCTCTATTATCGAAAAACGAGACGTACAGGTACATTTCTCTCTGGTCAACGACGTATCTTAAAAATAAAACGTGAAGATTCACAGATTCGGACTTTGCATCGCGATATCTCCGCTCGTAGAGCACGTAGAAAAAAAAAATGAAAGCACTTTTATCATACAATTTAAGTATTTCCTGTCGATTATGCGTATGTAGAACTTGATCGTTCAACCGTTACTGAGATCTGATCATCTCGACCCCGAAAAATTCTCCGTTTCGCGCAAAGGAGGCACGGCAGTGTCGCGCGCTTGGCTTAGCGCCGAGACACTACCGTGTCTCCAGATACTGAAATGGTAAACCGTATTCGACTGTTTCTCGATTTTTGCCATTATAATAATGTAGCTTAAATTAGCACTGCGTGCTTTTGGCAGGTTTGTCTAACTGGGTTGTTTGTATATTCTGTTGTAGATGATGAAGGATGTTGTAAAGGGAAAATAAAGTATAAGTGACACATTTTAAGGCTTCTGGATACTCAGCCAAGAACTCTGAGTTGACGGTGGCGACACCAAATCAGACGGCGATCTGGCGAAACCGGTAACCACCACACACGTGCTCATGCCGTGTGCTCGCGCCTTCGGCGCGGCGAGAGGGAACGAGACAGCATTACAGCGCGAAAAAACATCTGTTTTCACTGTGGTCGCTTGTTTCAAGTGACTAAAAATATTTTCTCGGCAATCTCGGCCGTTCGCGCGGCATGTATCGATAACAGGCGAGAGAAGCATTCTAAATGACTTATAATTTTCAATAAACCGTAATATATATTTTTTATAAAAAGTTGGAAAACTTGTTTTTGTAATGTTGTATTTATCAAATGTGCTTCATGTTGATTAATATTCTGTTTGAAAAATTATTGTTTTTAACTATCATCCGAATTTAAAATTATGACAAGTTTTGAAATGAAATTTGGGTGCACTTCCGAAAGCAACACAATTCCGATTTTTTTGAAACTTGGTATACTTACATAATTTGATGCGCTGATTACGAAAATCATAGTGAAAATTGGCGACTAGGTCATCTTCATGGTGAAAAACAAAAAACCCTTAAAAACTGCCTTTTTCCATTTATCTCAATAAATATTAAAATTATCATAAAATGTTTTTTACAAAAGTTGTAGATCTCATAAAAATACAACTTTTATGTACTATACATTTTTTAAAAAAATTTATTATTTTTAGAGAAAAATAGTAAATAATCATCCAATCAACCAAAATAGTCAACCAAGCATTGCGGCTTACCTTAAGATTTAACATGCATATTTGTGTATTTAATCTTTAAAGTTGGGATTTTGTTAAGGGGGGCAAGCCCCCCGAACCCCCCTTGAGTGCCTTCTGCTACCATGCCGCCTTCTACGATATTATAGTTAAGAGATGTATAATAAGAGTCTGCAATTGCTGCTCAACCCATGACACAGATCAAAGTATCAGTATGATCTATTCAACTTGAAAAAAAATATCACTTCTTTGAAAACAAAAGACTCTTCCTCTTTCTATTAGTTTCGGTATAAATCCAAAATTCTACCTACTCACGCACTTCACCACGAGAAGGTCGGAAAGAGGTCTTAGAAGTGCATTTTTTTGTATTTTTTTGTATTTTTTTGTATTTTTTTGTATTTTAAAATTTTTTTTGTTTTTTATATTTAACTTTTGTTAAAATCTTTATTAATTCAATATAAGCACATTTCTTACGTACATTCTGATCTTTGAAACGTACATACCCAGGATAAACTGTTTTTATGTCTTTGTGCAAATGGATCTGCACCTAATTTCTTAATTCGGCGTCGCCACAAGAATTCACATAAATGCTCGTCAAGCTTGTTTTTGTGAATTCCACCCCGAGATAGAAAACGTCGCATTGCACGCCATGAGAACTCTATATTTTGGGTATGTGCACCAGTTTCACTATTTACAAATTCAACCGAGTGATTAACTGTTAGATGCACATACCCATGAGCTTCAAGATCAAAGTAGCCCTTCCAACAATCAGTGTGGATCTCTGTCCCTACTAACACATGTTTCTGAATTAATTGTAGTAAGGTATCTTTATCCCGTTTGTTTTCAGGACAGATCTCCAACCGATAGTTTTCAGGACTACCTCGCTCTATGAAGCCCAATATCCAGGATCCTTCAACAACCCGGCCACGTTGATACTTTCGCCTACCGATTTTACATTCGTCGATTTCCACAACTTTCCCTTGACCGCCATTTTTGCCTTCAAATTCAAATTCGTTATCAAGGGAAATCATGCAAATTTCACGACAGAATGAAAATCGGTCGGCGATAGTTTCAGTGGAAACTGTTTGATCTTCGATGACACTGCTTTCCCGGATGGTCTGTTCAAAATTGACGCCAACAGAAAAGCAGTATGTTATAAAAACGCATGTGGCTACAAGGGTATGGCAATGCTCGAACCAAGTATTCTCTGTCACAGTTTTAGAATGGAACTTTGTCCCTTTTTTTGAACGACATACAAATTCCCCACAGACTAATCTATCTTCATATAAAATCATTGCTTTTTTATGTTTAGCGCAGTATCTTTCTTTGGGTATTAAACCAACAGTTCGAACCCATTCTAAAGTTGACTCCCGATTTGACAAAATACGACCTAATTTGAATAAATTATACTTCTCATCCATTATTCTGCTTTTAAGGTCGACGGAGGAGCAGCAAACACCACTGAGGTAGGTATGAACTATAATCGATTATGGAACTGAAATATATTTTGCTTTTTTCAGGTCGACGGAGGAGCAGCAAACACCATTGAGGTAGGTATGGACTGTAATAGCCAAATGTGATATTTGATTCTATGTTTAATAACACAGCCACACAAAGAAAAAAAAAATTCTGATCTGGAGATCTGAAAATGTTTATTATATGTTTTTGGTTGATTGGATGATTATTTTCTATTTTTCTCTAAAAATAATAAATTTTAAAAAAAAATGTATAGTACATAAAAGTTGTATTTTTATGAGATCTACAACTTTTGTAAAAAACATTGGTAATTGTTCACTTTAGGGGAGCCACCTCCAATGACCTTGACCTTGACATATGTTGTCATCCTCTTCCATTGTAGGCTCCACCATATCTTCGCATGTACCACCTGGCACGACTTTGCCCACGCCCGCGGCCTCGTCGATAGTAAGCTTTAAAAAAAAGAGAAAATATATCAATGTTGTATATATATTATATAATCAAATTTGTAATCCACTTTTTTTATAATTCACTTTTTTAAGTGTAATGAGAGATATGATATTATTTAATAATATAAAAAGAATACCTCTTTGTTGATGTAAAAGCAGCTCGTTGCTGCTGTTGTTGCTGCTGCTGCTGCTGCTGCTCCAGCTGCTTCGGCTGCTGTTGCTGCTGCTGCTGCTGCTACCGCGGCTGCTGTTGCTGCTACCGGGGCTGCTGCTTCTGCTGCTGCCGGGACTGCTGCTTCTGCTGCTGCCGGGACTGCTGCTTCTGCTGCTGCCGGGACTGCTGTTGCTGCTCCAGCTGCTTCGGCTGCTGCTGTATTTGATGCAGCTGCTTCTGCTGCTGCATCAACTGCTCCTCCAACTTTTTTTGTTGCTGCAAAATTTGCAGCATCGTTTTTTGGATATTATCCAGTGTTGGAGGAGACTCTTCTAAGAGTATCCTCTCAACTGCATCAATTACTTCTCCTAAAATAATTAAAAGAATTATGCAAAATTATATATTTAAAATGAAATGTATGATTAAAAGATGTGTAATACTTACGTGACATGTCGAAAAGATCTAGCGTTGACGGCTGTGAAGTTGTCACATAGTGAAATTGTATTCGCACTTGCATATGTCACCAGGAACGACGTAGAAAATTATTAAATTATTTAAAAAATTAAAAATTTTTACATAAAAAATAATCAAATGAAATATTATATAATTAAAAAAAAATATATATATATAATATATTAATATATATATATAATATAAA